CGAAGCCCGGGCGGGCCTCCTCATGCTTGCATTGCGCAATCATGTTTGAGTGCATGGCTGACACTATATGACTCCTATGCACCACAGCTATGTGCTTGAGTCTGAGTGGTAGACTTGTTGAAAGCAAATAGCTTGTGGCATAATGCCAGTGTATGACAGACATGTCAGACACGTGTGAGAACGTGTGGGTAACATATGCAAAAGTATGAGAAATGTGTGAGAAAGTATGTAGCATATTTGATGACACATATGAGAGACGCATGAGACACATCTGAGAAACATATGATAGCAACTATGAGACGCGCATGAGAAAATATGACAAACTGTGAGAAATATGAGAAATATGAGAAACTATGAGAAGTATGAGAACATATGATAAATCTGAGAAAATATGAGAAGCTATGAGAAATATGAGAAAATATGAGAAACTATGAGAAATATGAGAAACTATGAGAAACTATGGGATGTATGAGAAAATATGATACAATATGAGAAATATGAGAAACTATGATAAATATGATAAACTATGAGAAGAATATGAGAAACTATGACAGACATATGAGAGACATGTACATGTGTTAGACACATACAAAAGTGCGGGGGACATGAGGTGCCTGTCAGAGCACGTTGCATAAGTGCGAGACATTATGAGGAGCAGTGCATGCATGAGATAAGCATGCATATCGTGTGGCTGCGAGATGCCCCCCTTTGGCTTGCGATATGTTCAGCACGTACTTCTCACTTGACAGTGTCACTATTGAACACGGTGTTTGCACTGCACTGCAAAGCTCATGAGGGGACCTGACAAGAGATGCAACTATGGGAAGTGTAGCATCTCACACTTGCATTTCTTCTCACTTTTCCCTTATATGGCAGTGGCCCTCCCCTGTGCGCATCGGTTCCGCTTTCCAAGGCATAGCTGAGGAGCACAGCGAGATGTTCTGAGAGGCTGGGGTGGGCAGCATGCGGGTCTAGTGCATGATAGCATGCGCACTTGAAGAGAGTTGAGGTGCAGCCTGCTACTAAATTGCCTGCTATTTGGCCCATGCTGAAGCAGCTCTTTTTTTCTGCAAGGCACTCATCAGCAAACAGCAGGCGCTCAGCAGGCACAGCAGCTCAGCACATCTACCCCCCTCCCGACAGCCATGGTTGTTTGCCTTTTGCCGGGGAGAATCTCCTTGGAGTGCCTGGCGGAGTACCGAGAGCTGGCGCAGCGGGAGAACGTTGAGCCTCCCTGTGAGCCAGGACCCTGCCCTTGTCCTGCCCAAACTGCATTCAAGGCTTGGCTAGTGTGTGATTCTGTTACATGCAGGGCGCCCTTTGTGCTTTGCAGTCTCCCCTGTGGGTTGCCCGAAGGACGCCTGCCGGTGAGGGTGACGCCTGACTTTATCCCGGTGCTGCTGAAGCCAGTACCAGCTGGGCGACTTCAAGCTGTCACCTGGCGACAGGGGCTGTTGACTTTTGAGCCAGCCCTCCTTGCCTGACACTCAAACCCTGTCCTATGGCTGAGGAAGAAGTCATCCAAAGGCAGCTCCAGGAGTGGTTGGAGGAGAACCGGAGAGAGGTGATGGAGGCTTTTGAGCAAGAGAACAGTCCAATTCCGCCCCAGTGCTTCCAACCAAGGATCCAGCGCATTTAGTGGATCCAGTGGATCTAGCGGACACAGTCAGGGACTTCCATCCACAGGATCCAGCCACCCCAGAGCCAGAGGATCCAGATCCAGCCACCCCAGATCCAACAGATTTAGTGGAAGTGGACCTAGTCAGTGACTGCGACGCAGAGGATCCAGTGGATCCAGAGCATCCAGCCGACCTAGTGGAGGATCCAGCCACCCCAGATCCAGTGGATCTAGTTGATCCAGGCAGTGATGATGATGATGATGATGCCACTTCAAGGGCAGCACCAAAGATAAGACCCCAGCCCAAGCCCATGCCAAAGCCACACAAAGTCAAGGCTGGGGGGTCCAGAAAATAAGCATATTGCTCTGCGGGGTGAGTGTGGCCGCCAAATCCCTGATGCGCAGGTCTATTCAGCTGGTCTAGCTCAGCTCTCAAACAAGAAGACCTATGCCATGTTTGATCTGGTGATCCCGCTGCATGCCTTCCACGATCCGGCGAGGGACACCAGGCACATGGGCACGAACCCCGTCATTCAGCTGAGGATTGCCCAGCATCCCAAGTTTGCTGTCATGCTGCCCCCTGGCTTCAGAGCTTGCTGGCGCGGGTTTCAGTCAGACGAACCTTTGTCAAACTTACTTGGCGCTAACTGAGGAGGGGGCTTTTTTGCTGGCTCCAGTGGCTCAAGGCGATCAAGACGCCACAGACCTTCAGCCTCTGCTTTGCCTGCAGTGCTGGTAGACACCGGAGCGTTGCTGCAGCAATCATTGTCCACTGGCTGCTGAAAAGCAGCTCAGTGCAATTTGCATGTTGGCTTGGCGCTTGGCACGTTTGCATAGATGTGTCAGCCTGAGGCCAGCTCTATGAGGTGGAGCTGCAGCACCTGGCAGAGCGGTCGTGGACTGGCTGCAAAGGCTGGTGCCGTGACTGCACCCAGCTTCCTGGCTTACAGTACAGCATGCACATTCTTCAAATACATTTCGCACATCACGCATCCTTGCCACCATCCTTGCGCACCAAGGCACTACCTCACACCTTCCCAAGATGTGAGACAGCTCGTCTCACAGACGTGGCAGGCGTGAAGGGTATGGGATCAAGTAGGATCCAGTGCTGCACTCCAGCCTTCTAGTGGCTACAGTGGGTCTGGTGGTCTCAAGGGCCCATGGATGTGGCAGAGGGGGAAAAGTGCAATGCCCGGCTTCAGCCTGCTGATCATTCATGGCATGCACAATCCGTCGCACTGGTGCCTGCCAGGCAGCCCTCGCGCTATGCTGCATCTCACACCTGCAGCATGCTTGCTTTGGCCACACTGACAAGCCCATCCAGTACTCAGTGCCCGCAAAGAGCAAGCCACATGTGCATCACGCATGATCGCTCTGACTCTGTGCCTGGGGCCAAGTGTGTGGCCCATAACTGGCCAATGAGGGTTCAGTGCAGCCCTTATAATTACAGCAATCAATGTCTTCTCGCCCAGCTGGTGTAGCAGCTAGTGTAGCAACTTGCATGTGCAGCCACATTGCCTTGCAGCCATTACAGGCACCCTGCGTGGCACTGCTTGGGTGTTTGCCTTTTGTTGGGGCCTTCATTTTCCTAAAGCTTGCTTACACTCACCCATTTGGACCTTGTGCGCTCTGATGTTTGCACGCATTGATGCTTGCATGATCTCTGCATGAAAGGCACATATGGGATACATATGAGAAAAGTATGACAATCGTATGAGAAAATTCACATGCTAGAACTGAGAAGCTATAAGAAACCTGTGAGACACTTGTGAAGACACACATGTCTCAAGATTCCCAAGTGTTCTCATAGCTTTATGTGACCTGTACTTGAGAAAATATGATAAAGGTGTGAGCAAACATGATAACATACTAATATGCACACCATATGAGAACATATGCAAACATATATGATCATACTTGTCTCATATGACACGCATGAACATTTTGAACATATGAGAAGCATGTGAGAAACATATGAGACAAGTATGAAGCACATATGCGACAAGTATATGAGACATCTGAGAAATGTAACTGCGTTTGAAATGGGGAAACGGGGGAGCATGAGAGGCATGCCAGAACACGTGGGAAAGACAATTGGGGAATGCCGGAGAACATATGCAGGAGATGTCTGGGACACACTCACACATGATAAGCATGGATGTATCATGTGGCTCCTTGATGCCCCTTGTTGGCTTGCAATGTGTTCTTCACACACTTCTCACTCGACAGTTTCTATTTGGACACACGCACACATGGTTACTTGCCATCAGTGGACTTTACCATTGCACTGATGAGCTCATAATGGGAAACCTGCCAAGAGATGCAAACATGGGAAGTGCAACTTCCTATACTTGCATGTCTTGTCACATTTCCCTCCTGAGCACCTATGAGAAAATATGAGAACATGTGGGAAATGCATGATAAACTATGAGAACATATGAGACCATGCCAGAAGTAAATGCTAGGAACTATGAGAAACGTGATAAACCTATGAGACATATGGGAAAGTATGAGAAATATGAGAAACGATGAGAACATATGATAAAAAACTATGAGAATCTATGAGAACATATGAGAACATATGATAAGTATGAGAAATATGAGAAAATATGAGAAACTATGAGAAACTATGAGAAACTATGAGAAACATGAGATATATGAGAAAATATGAGAAGTATGAGAAACTATGAGAAAATCTGAGAAGCATGAGAAGCTGTGAGAGACATATGAGACACCTATGAGCCACAGTGTGCACAGTGCTTATTCTACATGCACAGAGGGCTGGAAACCGATGCTTCCCTTCTGTGTCCACCTCATAGGCTCCGGCTGCCCGTGCAAGGACTCGTCTGCAGAGCACAGGCTACAGGACCGATGCATGAGGTGCTTGTCAAGTTGGTGTCTCAGAAAGGGGGGGGGTGTCTCACAAAAGAAGAGAGTGTCTCAAAAACTTTGGTATTAAAGACGGCTGCATTGTGAGACAGCTGTGCTGTGCGTGCCTGACTGTGGCCACTTCTAGTGGATCTAGTGGCTCCCCCCTGTCTAGTAATCTAGTCACTGCACTGAGCTGATGGCACGAGTGGCGCGGAAGCCATCGAGCTCCTCAGCATCTTCAGGCCGCTGCCCAAAGCCGACCAAGGTGACGCAAAAGCCCTCATCAAAGTCCTCAACATCCAGTGCAAAGACGGTTGGGGTTCTTTACGCACGGACAAGCAGTGACGGAAAAAAGCTAGCAGGCTCGATCAAGCGTCAAACATCAGCGGCCAAACAGGCAGCGCAAAGGGACTCAACGCCCTTGAAAGTCAAGCTGTCAGAAGTGGTGAGTGGGAGCCTTCCCTATGACCAGCGTGCTGCCCTGAAGAGCCTAGTTGAGCGCACACACCCCATGCTCAAGGGCTGCGCTGACAAGGTCAAGATATTTCTTGAGTCTACCCGTGCCTTGGCGCGCTCGCAGATTGCTGCAGAGCAGGCCTGGCAGGCGAGCCGGAAGCACAATGTGGAAATTGTGTGCAGTGACATACCGGATTTGTTCACTCACAGCCCTACGCCGGCACAGTCGTTCATCAGGAAGGTGCACTGCGCAGCTCAAGAGTTCAACAAAGACATGGTGGTGCATCACCTGTCCCAGGGCTTGGCTAACAAGGTAAAAACCACCAAGGAAATCACACAGAAGGGGAGCCCCAAGGCGGGCAAGCTCCAAAACCATGTTTAGAAGAGGGAAGTAAAGTGGCAATAACACATTGTTGCGGCTGGATTTCCCTTCAGGTGAACGGCTGCAAAAGTGTGATTCAGAAGCTCAAGCCGTCCCAGGCCAGCATCAAGCAGGTGAAGAAACTCAAGGCGCAGCGCGACAAGGGTGAGTTTGGATGGCGGCCTCTTGCCACGAAGGTGAGCAAAGTCCTGCGAGTGAAGGCGTGCCTTGCGCCTGAGACGGTTCGCCGGCTATGCGTCGAGATCAAAGTCAAGAAGCTTTGAGTGGATCCTGTATGTCAAGTAGTTCAGTAATCTTGATTTGCTGCCCATGCAGTGCTAAGCTGCCACAGTGCAGCAGTCTCACTCCAAGGCACCGGCGACATGTCAAAAGTCATGGCGCCGCAAGCCTCAGAGCAATGTGCTGAAATTGTGGCACTCAGAACTGCTGCACTGCACCGGCAACATAAAAGCGCGCACGGGCTGCCTGTAGATTTTTTCAATCCCCGCGCAGGGCCCTTTCTACTCTTGTCCAGCTAGAGCTGTAGCCAAGGAACAATCACTACAAGGCAACTGATTCCTGAAGCAAGCCATGATTTCCTGGAAAAAACAGCGAGTCCAGCTGAAAGCTGCATTGAGCTAGCTCTAGGAAGACTTGGCAGGCTTTTTCATCAAAGCCTTGCTGGGTAACAGTATCAACCGATTTTAACATGGTAGCGGAGCTGAGATCCTAAGCATAGGGGAGCTCCAGTAAGCAGTAAGTACTACAACCACTGCAACAGCAGCTACGCCAAACTACTACGACATGTCAGGAGAAGCAGCATCAGCCTCAGCGCAACAAACTACAGGAGCAGAGAACGGGCCAACAGCAGACACAGTAGGAGCCACGACTACGGGAGCAGGAACAGAACAAGACAACGACGTTCAGAGACTACATCGATACAAACTGCCACCACCCTTCTTCACTGGTGACTACTCCCAGTATGAAGAATGGCTGTTCAAACTACAAGCATACCTCGGCCTCATAGACCGAGACTTCGACCTGGTGCTACAACTAGCACAAGTGGCTACACGACAGATTGAGGACACAGACATCAGAACACACTTGCACTGGGGCAGCAGTCTTCCCACTGGACTTGTTTGGGGCTTGGCTTGACCCTTGGCTTTGCCCTTGCCCTTGGCCTTTTGCGGACTGCCCTTGGCCTTTTCCGGATTGGATGCAGATTCAGGCTCTGGGCACTGCAGGGAACGGGCAACTTGATCAGCTGCCCTTTGCTCCCGCTGTGTCAACTCTCCATATATGTCCTGCGAGGAGTGCTCCAAGAACGACAGGTCTGGCTTTGGAGCGATGGAGAAGGACATCATCATGGCGAGACTAGAGCCGGGGCCTAAGGGTGTTTTCTCGAGCTTCTTGAAATTCAAGAGCCGCGGGCAATGCAGCATAAACAACACTTGCCTCAAACAAGTCGAGCCCTGGTGGTCAGCTATCTTTTTCACCATGGTCACGTGCTTTGTTAGGGCCTTGCCCGCCCTCTGACGAAGCAAAACTGAGTGGCCACTGTAGCCACTAGAGGCACTAGAGCCCCTACATCTTATACACTTCGTCCTTTTTGAGACGAATTGACTGGGATGCGTGAACAGCGGGAATGCCTTGCTTGAGGGCCTTACCACTCTCATCATACTTCACCCGCTGGATTGCCTTGAGATGGGTGAGCTTGCTATAGTCAACGTAGCTGGACAGTGCTTCCTTTGCAATCACTGCCTTTGGGTCCATATCTTTGCGGCTCACATCCAGCTGGTAGATGACATCATCTGTGGCGGCTACCTTGAACTTGCCCTCGACCTCGAAGACCTTGTGCTTGAAAATTGCACCGACCTGAAGACGCGCGCCGGCAAACCATTGCAAGGCAGCTCCAAGAGGCACTGGAAAGCTGGGAGGAGCACCGTTCGGACAGCGGGTGCCGCCCAAGTCCACAACCACCAAGGTGTCCTGGCTCATCTCGGAGGGAATGAAGGCGGAGCCAGGCTTGCCCCTTCTCTGCCTTGGCGGTTGCTCCAGTTTTGTACGTGCCTTTGCACAGGAACAGTGCTGCACTGCTTTCCAGGCAGGAGTCTTTGAGGGCTTTGACGTAAAGAGAGCCGTCAGGTGCCAAGATCAGCTGGAAGTCGTCCGTGGCAACTCCAGTGCTCAGCAGGCCATGTGGAGGCTGAGCTGGCTGGAGATTCATTGCAGGCTTGGTCTGCTTCTGCAGCTCCTCGGTGCTGCACTCTGGGCCCCTCTTGTTGCTGGCAGGGTTGTAGGCCTCACCGCTGGGGCAGAACTCGTCGTTGTGGGCCTTTTGAAGGCTGGACCACTGGATCCCTTGACCACTGGAGTCTGTGATGGAGATGCCATGATTTGCCCTTGGCCAGCACAGCTCAAAGTCCTTGGGGTCATACTCAGGCTTTGTGTGCTGTGCGCCCGCCCCCTGGCCAACCTCCGGGACGACGACCCCCGTCTCCAAGAGCAGCGTCTTCTGTCGGAGCTTTTCCTTGTACATGTTAGAGAGGGATGTGGTGACATTCTCCAGGATGACATTCCTGAAGGGACAAGGCTCTAGGCAGTGGAAGGCCTCCCAGAAACAGTTTTGGACACCAAGCCCCTGCCTCACAAGTGCTTTCTCTTGGATCCACACTATTCCACAGTACCCGACTTGAGGAAGCCCGCGGTCGCTGAGGCAGTTCAAGTCCACCACACTTGTTCCAGGCTGGTCGTCGAGAAGAAACATGTCGATGACCTGAACCCGGCTCTGCTTCCCCAAGCTGGAGCCCATGAAGAGGTGGCGCAAAAACTGTGAGTGGAGCTCAGAGCCGCTGAACCACTGCAGCTGCTCAATGGACAAGGCGTTGTTGGAGCCTCCAGCACCATCGAAGCCTAGCGGCACCTTCCAGTTGCGGAAGTCCTTCCGAGCCATGGCGTTGATGAAAACTGGAAAAGCACCGCGCTTCAGAAGTGGGCTGTTGCCCAGCACGTGATTGAAGGAGCTGGCTTTGTTGGGCACCCTGGTCGTGGATGACAGTGTGATCCATGCTTCCCAGGCAAGCTCCCGCTCTGGGCTGTAAAATGTCTCCGCGCTCCAGGTCAAACCCTCACCTTGCGGATGAGGAGCTTGTGCTCAGGCTTTGAAAGTTGATCCAGCCACAGCTCCACATGCCTGGCTGTGCTCTCCACCCTTTCGTCTCCTGAGCTGTCCATCTTCCCGTAGCATGGCTGGCAAGGCGGGGTCCTCGGCACGCGCGGGTTTCATGGCAAGGTCCACTACTAGTTCAAGTATATATGACTGAAGCCTAGCACAACAGTGCAAGCAGGGGGCACTATGTGAATAGCCATCTGCGGGTCAGTGCTGCATGAGAGGGCGATGGCCTTTGCAGCTTCTTCCGCCTTCTTGGAGGCTTCCCCACCTGCCTTTGGAATGTTCCACTCGAACACTTGAACCACTTGATGGACCTGGACAGCATCTGCCGCATCTGCCAGCATGTGCCGGTGGGCAGCGACGTGTGGCATGGCTGTGCTGAGGTCCTGCATGCCAAAACAGCTAGCTCAAGGACAGCAAGGCAACAAGTTAAGTCATGACATCAATTTCCCGGACAGCAGTGTCCTTGGCGGCTGTCGTGACACACCAGGCACTGCTGAGGCTCTGCCAGGCCTCCTCTGCCTCGCCACCTGGACTCGTCGGAGGCCTTTGCCTTCTGCAAGTACACCCGCCAGGCGCGCTGCTCATGCTGGAGCTGCTTGACCAGGCGCTTGAGAGCTTCCTGAGAAGGGGGGTGAGTTCCCTAAAGTGGGGGGTGCTCCCTAAAGTGGGGGTACTTATTTGCCCAGCACTGAAGCCAAGCTGTGGATCCCTGCTTGAGCCCCCCTGGTCCTGCTTTTCACTATTGAGGAAGTCGTGGGGAGCTCGATCGTCTTGCAGGGCAAGGAAGGCGAGATCCCCCTTCGGGCCCACCACTCGAACTTCTCCCAGGAATGGCCGTGGATCGCATGCCAGACCGGGTTCTCCTCTTTCTTCCTGAGTCGGTGTCAAAAGTCAAGATGGAAGGCTACTTTGGAGCCTCTAGACCCACTGGAGCCACTGGAGCCACTGGGAGAGTGCCGCTGGCCTGGGCTGTGCCAAGTTGCACTGGATTCGGGTAATACGGGTGCAAGAAGTCCTTGGTGAGAAGCGACAACGGGAACGCCATGAACTGTGGCGCCTCGCTCTGGTGGGCTGCCGCAATGATTTTCCTGGTCTCAGGGCCTGCACTGTCCAGGAATACCATCACTGACATCTCCTCTGTGCCCACTCGAGCTTTTGACACCGCGGATGCGTTATGCTCACGGATGAGGTCGCGCACAGCTCTGGCGCTGCCGTGTGGGGGATTGTTGGCTGCTGGCACAACAGCTGAGGAGTGAGCCTGGACCAGCTGGTGCTGGATTGAGGCTGCACGGAAACTGGAAGAGCACTTCCAATGGATATCGATGCGTTTCATTGCCTCTCTTCAACACCATCAGCTTCTGCAAGTTGTCTCGCCTGGCTGGCCACAAAATAGATGTCACTGTGCACTCACAAACTCAGCACACAAGACAGCCACTGGGTGCAGGTGAGGGACACTGCGTATGACTGGACAGGCCCCTTGAGCTGGCTGCCAGCCAGGAAGCCAAACTGCCACAGGGCCAACTTGAAGCGTCGGGGTACATCTTGGTCAGTCACCAAGGAGTCAGGGACTGTGCTCTGGATGTTGCTGGAGCCTGGGAGCCCAAGTATCTGCCGGCACTCACCCTCCAGCTCCTTCAGCTCAGACATCAGCTGGGCAGGGTTCGCCAAGTACTCTGCCTGCATCCAGTCATGGACATTGGCATAGGTGTCTCCTGACAGTGAGGAGCGAATCTCTGCAAAGGTTTTCTCATAGACCTTGCCGAGCTTCTCCTGAGGCGCAAACAGGGGCCACATGTCACTGTCATGCTTCTGAGCAAGTCCTCCAGAGTGCTCATCGGCAGTGCAGCTAAGCTCCACTACCGACCCGTGACTTACTGAAGCCACTGGAGCCACTGGAGCCGCAAAAGCTCCACGGATGTGCAGTGGCTGACCTTATTGCAATCTGTGGACATGACCATGCTTGCAATGGGCTCTTGGCAGCTGCAGTGCTGCGGCACTTGTCATTTTACTGACTTGATGATGGAGGCTACACTGCTGCCGGATCAGGAGGACCAAGCCTTGGTTGACACACGGAGCCTGCTGGGCCTTTCTAAAGTTCACCTCCAACAC